ACCATAGGGTCCAAAGCATGCCGGTAACCGCGAATAAACCACTGCGCCACCACCACCCAGATATACTATTGTTCATAAATCACTGAGCGGTAGGAAAAACTCTTCTATAAAAAAGGTTAACGTACCAGGGAATAAGAGGATGAACAGAACTGCAAGGCCACCCAACAGTCCAATTACAAGACCGATATCCGGTACAAAGAGAGCGAAAACGAGACTGATACCAAACCACAAACAAGCAGACGAGTATCGCCAAAGCCGTTCCCATCGGGCCCAGCGAGCATCCGACCAGCGAAGGAAGTAGCGCAGAATGGTCTCTGTGGCTGACCTTTAGAAACAATCGAACACGTAGAGAAGCAATACAGGACATGAGGTTATTCGTAGAATTCCGAGACGTTGATATACAGAATTGTGAAAGTACCAGATGAGTATACATAAATCGAGAATACTGGGAAATTACTCAAACAAGACTCAATTTCCGAATGCGCAATACATTTTTAACAGTCATCGAATATGAAAAAACAAATATCCCACATCACAATTCACCAGCAGTTGTTGATTGGATGCAAATGGAACAACACATGGTGTACGACTGCAACACGAACGAGGGAGATGCCACCTCGTACAGTTACGAAACGTTCGTGAGCAAATCACCCGACTCAAGGATCAAGTGACAACGGATATTGTACCCATTTTGCATTTGTTACTTTCGTGTTTCGCGCACAGTCACTGTCACTTTGCATTGCATAGCCTTGGAAGCACTGTGCAGTAGCAACGTTGTCTGCTGTGGTGAACTTCACAGGTCGACTATACTGTCTCATCATTCAGCGACCGCCTGTCACAGTTGGATTCCACAAATCAATGAAACACGGTGTTTTTTTAAGACGCATCATCACCAAAGGCAGTTCGCAAACGATTAACACTCTGCTGCTGCCCAAAACCACATTAGTATTCGTAGGAAACCATCGCCCTGCAGTGACATAGACTGAATTTTATCCTTACAGTTCGAGTACAGCGACCTTTATGACTTGTGAGGTGTGTTCGGCTGTTGATATTTGGTTCTGTGTATGNGACAATCATTGAACACTATTCACAATAGATTAAAGTTCATGTTTTCAACGCCCGATAATCTGCACTCGTATGTGTACTACTTATCCGGAAGACGTTTTGCTTAATCCTCGGATATTGGATATTGCAGTCACTCGTTGTCATTGGCGGTTGACCGCAGTATGGTAACTCAGGTTTTCGGGACGGGAAAATTCAGTTCAGCGTGAAAATAGCCTTCAAACGTAGGATGTAATCCAAGCGATCCTCTGAGAAGTCCACATTTGTATTGACGATATAAAAAACTGAACCGAGATAAATCGTTCTTCAAAATAATATCTGCGGTACAGTGCTCAGTCAACTGTAAACGCATGCGATACAAACGATTTGGCAATGAATTTCATGCTAATTGCAGCATAACAGCAAAGGCGCCGCAAGGATTCCGACTGTCAGCCGTTTCAGTATTAAGGGTAAATAAATGTGTCTAACTCTTCTCTACCAGTGGCACAGCCCTATTGCTATTCACCAAGCAGTTAGTCCTCCCTAAACAGAAAACTTGAAAACAGATGTAGACAAATAGTTGTTTCATGTGAATGGAATCACCTAGATATTATGGAGAGACCACTCGCCCAACCCTGAACAAATTTAGTCTGTTTCGGCTAGTAATATCGCGAAAGTATTATGTAAGCGGCTTTATTCCTCCCCCGTTGTATAGCCCTTGCTTAAGGAACTCAGAAACGGTTACATATCAAAAGGTACAAATCGGAATTCCAGTTTTGCGAGGTTCCTTGAGCCCAGTTCTGGTGCACAGAACACACGAGTACACTCATTTCCTCTTTCATGGATAGGCTTGCCCGGACTACAATAGGAAAAAAACAGTGAACAAGTCGAGAGCCATTTTTTTTCGTTATGCCAGAAGTGACACCTACACTATGTCGATAACAAATTATTCGTAGAAGAGCCGAAATAAATAATTTTTCGTGGACAGATGAAATGTATTTTCCCCAAAATCGAACAACTCATGGCGTTTATATTTTTAAACACGGTATGTATTCCATCTTCGACATTGAAAATCTACTTTCGAGTTTATATTGGAAGACAACAGCAGGGAGAAATATGATTACAGTTAGTGAGACGCTAGAAGCTCGTCCCTTGTACTAGAGAGATAAAAGAGAAACACACACGCACTAAAAAATAACAGTTCTATCGCGTGGGAGCTCCTTGCCCGGCGAAAAACTTACTGTCCACAGACATGCATAATGGGATAAGTTGTGTATGTTTTAATGGCCAGCAACGCTAATCCGGCTACAACCTCGGCTCGAGGTGGATAGTCTAACAAGACATCCGCACTGACGTGAGATCCAAAACTCAGATAACCAAAAACTCCGGTGGCCACGTAGGTCAAGAAGATGATGAGGATGGACAGCGCAGATACCACAGCGAATTGACGCTGATTTGGACGGCTGCGCATGCATGCATAGACGGGGACGGCGCTCACATGACACTGGTTGCGGTTAAGGCAGATCACCCGTGGTTCAAATGTTCGTTGGGATCAAAAAATGAGACGGGAGAAAGGAGGAATGAGATTGGATACAATCTAACAATAGATCACGGGCAGAAAAGCATACAGTAACATAATGAAGCAACTTGTATTTTGCCATGAAATCTCGAAACTACTCAGAACGTGATAAGCTCTCCGTTAAAGTCAAACGAAAATCTGAAAAATATTGACAAAATAAAGAAGCTGATGCATGTTCATCAGACAGAAAAGACGCAGCATTGAAGCCCATCAACTAGGTCGTAGAAAACGAAATTGCAGCGTCAATGTACAGCTTTATATTTTGTTGATACCCACATTTGTTGTGAATTGAGACGAAATAACAAACAGATAAAATTTGTAAGAGACAACAGAAACAAGGCAGATCTATAGGATCCGACGGATCTCTATAGTAGGATGATCAAAATTATGAATATGTTTAAACCAAAACAGCTGCTACATGAAAAACTGGAATACTAAACGCGTTGAACGAGTCACCGTCATTCTGGATTGATTGTGAATCACGTAGCCTAGCTTAAGTGACTGTATTAGTTATTCAATGAGATCTGGAAAAAGAAAAATTTCTTTGAAGATTAGGCTAACTCTTGTCTTTCGTCTGTCGCCAGAAAGGTGATAATAATTAATCAGAACTACCGAGGTATCAGTTTGAACGAAATCCCCATCAAGATAATCCAAGTGATACTGCTTAACCACTTAGCAGCAGCAAGAAACGCAACAAAAAGGGAAAACAAAGGGGCGTCTGCCGTGGTAAGAGCTGTTTATCACACATTCATCCATCGTCGGATATTGGAACACCGTCATAAGCTAAAGAAAACAACGATGGCTTTCTTCATCAATTTCCGCACTGCAATTGATTCAACCCACCGAAACTCGTAGTGGAGCATGACGAACGCCAATGGCATGCCTGAGGAGCTCACAGGACCTTTACAGTAATACTATTCCAACATCCGAGCTCGCCTACAGTGAGGATTCCTCGAACTTTCCCTTGAACTCAGGAGTTGAACACGGCTGTCCGTTATATCCGATGTAATACAACCACATAACTGACTGGAACACGAACACGATGAACAGCTGAGGATGAGGAAATTGCTTAACGACGTGAAGCTTGTCCAATGCTCGTTACGCAACACTAATGTGTGCTAATAAATATCATACCTAAACAAGTCTAGAGACTACATTTTCTTAAGAGATAAGAGAGCCATGGAAGATTTCCATAAGAATATAACAAACAATACAACGAACAAGCTTGTTTCCGTAACTTCGTCTTCAGGCATTTACAGTTGTGTTTATATCTAATGTACAAATAAATGTGATTGGTTCGTTAGGGTTAGGTGTGAAAATACAACAATGTCTGTCACGTTTCAGTTTACGTTTTTACAACCATTAACGACGGACTTTCGTGTTCCGGTTTTGTTTGCTGTCTTTCGGTGTCCCATTTGAATAGAAGAGCAGAATGAAGATTGCAATGCTGAAATCAAATTCAGGCGGAAGATGGATAATTCCTTCAGAGTGGAGTGAGGAGAATAAGGAGTAAATGCACGAGCGCCACTGTTTGCGACACCCAGCCATATCACTCAGTAAAGCTAACCATCGGTGACCATCATCTCGAGGTCCCCAGCCAGGGAGCCTAACGGGCCTATGTGACCTAGTCTCCTGGCTAGTGTTTGCATACCCTCATAGCCGGTTTTCGTTTGACCATTTTCCAAACGCTACCTGCTTCGGCAAACATCGCTCGCCGTTTCAACCTTTTTGGTGACATGCGTATCACATGTCACAACCAACGTAATCTATGGAGGTCGATCGCTTGCTCCAGTGGACGACCGTGACTGCCTAAAACTCTACGCCTAACCTCAGCATTGCTAGTCTGGTTACCCCATCAGACACGTGCAATGCTCCGTAGACAGCGGCGTTCGAACACCGACAATCTAATTTTATCCTGTTTCCGCACCGTGAAGTAGAACTGGCCGAACTGCTGCAGCATATACTCGACCCTTCACAGACAGCCGGATGTCGCGACGGCACAACAGATATCTCAAGTTGGCCAATGCCAACCGAGCTTTTTGTATGCGCGCCCACACTTCATCTGAGATGCGTCCGCCACGTGCTCTATTACTTCCCCAATTAGAGTGAGGCTGGGTGCTGGACCAACCCAATCTTGGAGCAGCATTTTACACTTGGAAGGTGATAAACGAATACCGAACATGGCAAAACTAGCACTCAAACTTTCCAGAGAACCTGGTAACTTAACTGGATCTTCACTTAGCAGCACAATGCATACTCCAGATTGGACAGTCTTCCACCCGAGAGTAAATGGATACCGATCTCCTCGCATGAAGATAGGGATGTTTAAAGAACTAATTCCATGACAAAGTTAAACAGAAACAGAGAGAGCAACTCTCGAAAACCACTTTCCGTGGTGAACTCGGGCGATAAAGTACCACAAGCTCGAAATCGGCTTCAGTTACTATTGTAGAGTCGTAAAAATGAAGTTAACTTCTCGGGCACACCTTTTAGAGAAAGGCAGTGCCAGAGTTGAGAGCGGCCAACTGAGTCGAAAGCCGCTTTCAAATCGAGGCAGACAGAGATGGCGGATGTCTCTGTTCTAGAATTTGGCGAAAAGTAAAGATGTGGTCGATACAACCTCCAAGTCTAAAACTAACCTGGTTCCCACGCGTGCACCGTTCACGTGCAGCAGACAATCGACCGAGTACGACCCCAGCAAGAAGTTTAGAGGCAATATTGATTAAACTAATTTCTCTGTGGTTTTCAAAGAAGGACTTGTCGTCCTTCTTGCAAATCGGTATAATTATCGATCAGCACAATTCCGTTTATAACCTCTTCCCTCTCCCACAATGAGCCCAGGAGTTTTGTTCACTCCAAAACCAAGGCTGAGCCTTATGCCATTTGAGATAACTTATTTCCCGGGAGAACTCCATTTCAGATGGAGGACTGATAGTATTTGCACAGTTGAACCGGGTGTAGGGAGGTCTCTTGCTGACGAGGGCCAGCTGAACTGAGCCCATCGATCTAGACGGTGTTGCTGAATATGAATCAGTGTGCCGTCGGACTCCTTAATTACCTCACTTAAGCCTGCTTTCCTTAGTCCTGTACTCCTAAATAAACAAAAAAGATTGTGTCTATTAGCGATAGCTGCAGCCTCCTCCATCTCTCTACACTTTCCTNCCCACCACATCTCGCAGTCATTCCTCAGACTTTTGATGAGCTGGCATTTGAGGGATTTGCGCGCTTTGTAGTATTTTGAATCCAAAGGAATGGCTTTGCGAGCGTCCAACAGGGTAACCGAGGTCGGGGAGATCCATCGTTTTTTATTATTATTATTGTGTGCCAGAATCTGACGTTGTTTTGATTGACATTTGGATCGCTTGGATCGTCGCCGATACTGTATTGTGGGTATCCGTTTTCGGTGGCTTTTCTGCGGTTGTCTATTAGGCGTAAGGAGAATCTCGCTCGTAACAGAGCATGGTCTGTGTCCACGGGTGTTGACCAGTAGGAGCGGCGGACCTCAATGGATCCTCGCCAGCGGTGGCTGATGGCGATGTGGTCGATTTCAGTCCAGCGCAGTCAAGAGATTGACGGTCTCCATGTAAGGCGGTGTCGTTTCTTGTGTGAGAAGTTAGTGCTTGACAGAAACAGTTCGTGGTCAGCGCAAAGTTGGAGCAGGCGTTCTCCGTTGTCAGTCTTGTTAGCTGGAATTGCATGTGAACTACCAAGTAGCCTCTCTGATTCGTCCTTGGATCGCACTTGAGCATTGAAGTTTTCCGGCGAGTATCACGATATCCGTTGACCGAGGACTTTGGAGCAGTTGAGAGAGGTCCTTGTTGAATTAACCCGTCATTTCTAGCGAATTGCAATCAGTCGGTGCATACGCGGATACGACGAACAAACATCGATGCTTCGTTCTGTACAGCGCAAAATCAGCTGCTAACCTGAATGCAGTCGAGAAGTGAACGCTCGGCCTTGACACTTATCGCAATCCCAAAAGCAGCAACAGCACGAGCTTCGGATGCCGAATCGCCTGACACACGGAGCGAGTTGAGAAAATGGGGGCAAGAGGGGAAGGGAGAACAAGGTCAATTCTGTAAACTTCCGATGACGTTTTTCACGTGCAACTTGTCACGTCATTTTGCC